AATAATAATCCCTCCAAAACCAAAACCAATAATAAATTGGTCATTTTCAATCCACTACTGTTTGTGGGACATTGCTGTGTGTAATTGGCTGCCGCGTTTCGCCCACAAATATACAGTCAATTCGCTTTACAGTATATTCTGTGAAGCGCTTTGGGACGTCTAGAAGACATGAAAAGCGCTATATCAAATGCAAGGATTATTATTATTATCTTATATCCACTCTTGAGATGATTCTTAACAAGGCTGAAGACCCCAAGTTTATCCAGTCATTCCTCAAAGCTTGTCCTCTAACTGGTTTTAAAGGTGAAATAGAATTCTTTATTCTAACCTACCTCATTGTCACTTACACACCTTGTACATTATGAATCCTCATGAGCATCAATTGTAAAATGCTAGATGTGAGTGCCAGGAATTCCCCATACTTGGATCCATATGTGGAATCTTGTGACTGTTTTAGAAATCCATTGAATTTTAAAAATAGATGTTCGGGATTCCTGGAATTGGCATGTGGGGAACATAGCATATTATCCAGCTGTTATTACAATATTCATTCAAAGAATGATTGAATTGTATATTGTGAAAGCTTTTTAAATTGTTGGAGTTGAATGAATTACTATGTATTGTTACAATATTACAAAATTCTCCAATGTCTCCAAAATAAGTTGGATTCTGGGCACTGATGTCTGAGCTTTATCAGTTCTATATTATTCTTTGTTAGTTTAACATACATTAATGGCAAATAGTTTTGACTTGTCAGTTTATTGAAATTTCATTTTTAAAAGTCAGTAAATAAGAATAAAAAAAAATGATTGTGTACATACCATATTGTCAGATTTGTCATTCAGTATATCTCATCAAAAAATTTGAAGATTGAGTAAATTTGGGGAGAGTAGCAGTTCTGTTACTTGATGACAAGTGTGCAGCTTTGATAAGCTGCATTCAAGTAAACTTGGTGGAGAATAATAATAATTCTTTCATTTGATATAGCGCCTTTTCACATCTTCAAGACGTCTCAAAGCGCTTCACAGAATATACTGTAAAGTGAATTGACTGAATGTTTTGTGGGCGAAACGCGGCAGACAATAGCGCAAGCAGTGTCCCACAAACAGTCACGGATTGATTGACCAAATTTTTAAAAATTTATTTTGAAGTGCATAAAGAATCTTGTCATTCAGTATATCAGTAAAGAATCTTTATGCACTTCTTCAAAGTCAATTACTGCAACAACTAACAGCTGTATCAGTCCATCCAGATCTCAGACGACTACTTATCCCTGTAGTAAGTAGCTTGAGTCACAGACACTTGTCAGCAGTAGTTGACCCTTGGGCTTAAAGCCAGGTGGTTGTTGATGACTAAGTGGATGAAAACTGAGTGGATGACCAGCCAGAACTTTCCAGCCAAAACAACGATTCATGTTCTTATAAGTACAAATGTCACTAAATAATTAACACACCGTAACAAAAGTAGCAATGTTACTTTTTGGCTTCTGAGACATTCCACAGGAATTTGGGGAGATTTTAACACAGCTAAGTTAATGGGTGGTATTCCTCAATACAGTGTTATTCAATTAGTTATGGTAGCTCTTATATACAGTGGAGTGGGCAGACCAGTGAGTTAGGGGTCCTTTGATTGAATCGAAGACTCACTAGCTGACTGGCACAGTTGTATTATCATAGAGCTTTTTCAAATAGTTTCAGTAGCAAATATACCCCCTGCTGAGGAGGCAATATTATAACATTTTCCTTTTCCTCAGATAATTGATAAATAGTTTTTAGTGGAATGTCACACCATGTACAAAGGATGGTTACACAGAGGCGATAAGGGGAACAAAAATGTTATTTTACCCATACATTATACACATTTTTCTTTTGCTCTGTTTACCAACCTTAGTGCTCGCTTTCATTTATCAGCAACAGTTTAAATTAATTAATGGGAGGAGGTGTGGGAAGAAATGCAGGCAACAATAACACTCTTGTTCAAACTTTGACTCCTTCATGTTGAACGTCACCACAGGCATTTTCTTGGCTTCAGGAGCCGCTTGTGTTGAGATAACCCTTTACTATAATAAAATTAATAATAAATGATTGTACAGAGGCCTGTCGTTTGGTGAGCAAATTACTTAATAAATAACCTTGACAAAGGAAGCATATGTTGTGAAGCACTCAGTTAAGTAACTGGACGTTTTGAGACATTGTATGCGTGTTGGAATATTCATCTGTGGATCAAACAAATACTTCAAACAAAGTCCCAACGCTGCCAGCAGATGGTTACTGGAAATCTTTTTCACACAGTGGAATAGGTGGTGCAGTGAGTTAGAACCCTTGCAAGTTAGACTTGAAGCCGACCCAGTCAAACAGAGTGACAATTAGCCTCACCCTTCAGTTTGCCCACACCACACCAATATGCCTGCGCAATGTTGATTCTGGGAGCAAAAAAAAGTACCAAAATGTTCCCCTGGCACAGCATTCCCCTCCACGGCCTCACCCCCACCCTACCTCTGCGACCTCCTGCAATCCTACCCACCCAGCCACTCCCTTTGCTCAGCACCAGTCTGCTTCCTTGCACTATCCACCCCACGATCAGTGGGCGAGCTTTTAGCCCTTCTGGCCCGCTCTCTGGAACTCTATCTCAAAGTCCCTCTGACTCGTCACCCTCCCTCCCCACTTTTAAACCCCCTCAAGACTTACATCTTTGGCCATGCTTTTGGTCAACTACTCCCCCTCGCAACACTCTTCAGCTCCCCCATAAAGATCTTGGAACACTTAAGCCTGATCTATTACTACCATTATTCCAGGTATTCTCTGCTTTAGCTCATGAAAAACATGACAACTTAGTGCGAATTAGTGTTACTGCTCAAACCTCTTCCAGGCCAAATCAAACCAATCAAGCTTTTTAATTCAGCCTGACCCCCACGACGCAAGGTAGAGGGAGTACAAGCTTTGTCCTGACATTGAAACTTGATGTTGCAAAATAAGGGTTGACTTGATTTGAAACAAATACAAAACTGCAACTGCTCTACAGTGTAGAGGAAAATTAGGTGTCAACCTGGCTCAGTTGGTAGCACTTTTGCCTCTGAGTCAGAAGGTATTGGTTTCACACCTCACATCAAGACAATACAGTGCTGTGGGTCTATTGCATTGTTGGAGGTGCCGTCTTTCGGTTGCGACATGAAACTGAGATCACACTTGCCTGTTCAGGTGGATGTTAAAGATCCCATGGCACTATTCAAAAAGAGAGGGGAGTTTCTCCTGGTATCCTGACCAACAATCCCCCAGTTGGTCATTGACTTCATGGCTGTTTGTGGATCATTGGCAAATTGGCTGCTGCGTTCGCCTATAAAATGCTTAGTCTCCGCACTTTACAGTAAATCCTGTGAAGCGCTTTGAAACATCCTCTCAACACGAAAGGTGCTGTATCAAATGCAAGGGTTGCGAGGATTATATTATTTAAACCCTTCAGTTTTAAAGCATCTTAAATCCTTTTTTTTGAATATCAACCCCTGGAATATTTAATTTGCATCCCAATGATTATTTTACAAATTGGGAAAAGTTCAGAGACTCAGGCTGCATTCATGGCAAGGTTGGTAAAGCTACTGATTTGAGTGAAATTATGCTCTGTAGATGGCTGCAGGTTCGCTCCGTGGTCTGCGCTGAGCTTGCTGATCTCACAACAATTAGTCCAGCGCTCCTTCCTCCCTCCCTTCCCCACATCCCCCACAACTAAATGAGGGGCAAAAGCTGAAACACCAATACGAGAGCACAACAATTAATATCAGTGCTTCCTCCTCCTTTCTGTCCCCCACCTTCCAACAACTAAACAACTAAATGAGGGGTTAAAGTAGCCAGAGATCTCCCCTCTGATCACTTTCCAGTGACCCCTGCTTTAAAGTATGTGGATATGGGTTGATGGTAGGATGAAGCTTGGCTGTGGTGCACACCATCTTCGTTCCACCATCATGGCTGCGCTTGAAACTCTAAAATATTCTTCCTCTATTCTTCTGCCTTGCCCCTTCCTTCGCCATCTTCAGGTCACACCTGAAGACCTTCTTCTTCGACCATCCCTATGGTCACCTCCCCCTCTCCCCGGCTCTGCATCGTGCTCTACCACTGTCAAGAGCTCTGGGACGCTGCTCTGCATGAGGGGCATTTGCTCCTTCAGAAGAAGACAGGGGAAAATTGCAACAGAGTTGGGTGTGCAATGAATTTTGTGTGGGTGGCTGGGAGAAGATTGAAACACTAACATTTCAGTTCAATTCACTCTGATTTTTTTTCAAATAAATTAACTTGGCTTTCCACTGTCTTTCTACACACTGCCTGTCATTGTCTGTAGTATTGTTTATCACTCAGAGAGGGGTAATACAAATTTCTGGACAAGAGCAGAACGATTACGTAAAATTCTCTGAATTAAGTCCTGTCTACTGAAACACCCAAGTTCAATTTCCTGTGTACTTACGGATAGTGACAGCTTGCTTCTTGTGCCCTGTCTAATGCATAAGTAGCACAGAAATAATTCTTCTAGGCAATTACTCTCTGTTGTCCATAGAAAACTCCTTTAACCCTCGGAGGCTGAAAGCTTTCAGGTTACTGCCACGATACACACAACTATCTGTAAAGCCTTTTTTGCTGTGCATTTCTAGAACATTACACTTAGAGAAATTGATTGATATGTATGTCAATTTTTAAAAGCAACTGAGATGTACAGACTGGAAAGGACACAGATTTGATTCATTTGTGATTTGCGGTGAGTTAGATGCTCTGAGTACAGTAGAACGGGTGCCCAATAAGCTGCTATTGTGAAATTAAAAAGTGGCAATTAGCTCCAAGCCACACAAGCAGTGTTTATAACCTGTTTTATAGCAACCAGGACTTACAAGCTGCCTGTATGAAATCTGGGGAAAGGATTTTACTATAATATTTGCTGTGATTTAACTGGTATTTCGCTATTAAAACAATGACATTTGGGAACTGATCTCTGAGAGACTGTGCTGTTGTGTTTCACAGGTTGATGACCAAATGAAGCTTCTTCAGAACTGCTGGAGTGAGCTTTTAATTTTAGATCACATTTATAGACAAGTGGCGCATTGGAAAGAAGGTGCTATCCTACTTGTCACTGGGCAGCAGGTGAGTACGAAAGGCTTCTGTTCTTACATGGCAGCTATAGGCATAGTATGTAAGTGTGTTACCCCTTTCAATACCCTCCCAATCCTCTCCCTCCACATTGTTTAGACTAAGTGCCAAGGCAAGGATATTACAATTTTTGTTTGCTTCTTTTTGGATATGTCTACTGTCCAATATTGATCAGAATGTGAAAATCAAGTTATTTTCTAGCCTAGAAATATTTAATTGTTTTCCTATTATAAGCGTGTAATGGAACATTCATAGTGTCAGTGAACAGTCTATCTTTAACCTTTTAACGAACACTCACATACATGTAGGTCACTTGGAAAGGGGAAGGCAAGCATCATATTTGTTTCCAATGGAGTCAAAGGTGCCTTTCAGTTTTCTTGTGATTTAATTTCAACTTTCGGCATGATGAAAAAAAGGTAGGCATCAGCTTGATTCAGTTGGTTGCAGTCATGTCTCTGGGTCAGTTGATTCCGTGTTTGACCCAAGCCCTATTCTATTTAGCTCATAGTCCAGGCTAACACGGAGGGAGCACGACAATGTCCTTCAGATGAGATACTCAACCAAAGTTCCATTTTGCCTGCCCTGGCAATTCAGGAAGAATTAATGTGCTTACAAAGGACGGAGTATATACTCCTGGGAACCTAGTGAATATTCACCCCTCGATCACCTTCACCCCCAAAAAATGAATGATCATTTAGTTCACAGCAGTTTGTGGAAAATTATGAGTACACAAATTAGCTACTGCATTTACTTATGTAACAATTGTCAATTCACTTCATTGTGTGAATGTTTTGAGACATTTTGATTTCCTTATGAGGCTTCAAATAAAGTTACTTTTAAGATCCTTTTGAGCAGCTTTCTTAAATTCTTTGTTGATATATCATTGTCTCAGGATGTGGAATTTATTTCCCCCAAAACCCTGTTTGAAAACATTGGGGTGATTCAGTAAATATTTGTTTTCACTGTTTCATAACAGTAACCAATTTATCTTGAACAATGACAAGAACAACATTCAATTCTCATAATAGATACTATACATCCACCTTCATATTTACAAGAACTGGAATTGAGAGGAAAGTTAATTGTCTGTTAGCCTGATCTCCTGACCCCCTCCTCCCCCATTTACGCATCTTAATAGTGTGTTGTTAAAAAGTGATATGATGATATTTGACCCTGTAGTGTTCATCCCAGGTCATATACTCTGTTACAGATCACTCAAGCCTCATTCATCTGCCATTCAGGACTGTGACATGTTCTTGTTTGCTACCAAATAATATATGGTTGCACATTGGTTTAACCTGCATTTGCTCATGTTCACATCCTTGGCTCAAGCTGGAGGGAATACCCTCACTTTAGTACCCATTATGCTTGGTATCACAAATAGGTACGTTACCACTTGGCCATTACATGTGATTCATAGCATACACACAATTTAGACATGGTTACTTATGGTTGCATTTTGCAGAAGATCAGATCACAAGTAGGAGCATCACTGCTGGGCACTGACATTCAACAAATCACCAATATGTAGGTTGGGTTGAAACCTAGCATGTAGAGCCAGCCATATTTTTAGAAATCAGATTTTCTATTGCTGAATCACACAACTTCCTTCTGTGGCCAGATGGGAAAAAAGGAAACCGAGAGAGGGCCAGGGAAAGAGAGAAAAAGAAGCATACATAGCATGCAAACCCAGTTGTCATCACACTCATTTTTATCTCGGAGGGAGGCTTCTACCGGAAGACTGTAGATTATTTAGATGTTTAAATTGGGATAGCTGTTTAATTTACATCCACACACAGGACAAATGAACACACTTGGGAAGTAAGGACATCAAGGGATATGGAGAAAAGACAGAAGGACCTTTTCCATCCATTGTTTCTGTGCTCGTAAGGCAGACGGCACTGCGCCAGTCAAGCTTTTCTAAAGAAGCTATTTCAATGATTTGTTCTCCTCCAGTAAACTTTTTTGAAATTCCGAAAACTACCGTTGCCCCCAGATATAAAAGCATTTCCAGAAATAGCCAAGTATCTTGGCCCCAAAACAAGTAGTGCTTTCCCTTGAGACAATAGAAGAGAAATGCTTCATAACCATTGTTCTTAACAACCTATAATAAATACCAACTGCACAATAGCTCAGTTATTTGAGGGACACTGGGATATGAATTAACACTTTCTCTACCAACATTTGGCCCTTCAGTTTTCAACCCAGGTCATATATTGTGTTGCGGATCACTCAAGCCTCATTCATCTGCGGTAACCTATGAGCCATGGTATTGTCCTATGAACCTACACTTCAATTCCTGCTATATCTTTCAATGATGGATTTCAACATATGTCAAGCACCTGGCTAACCAAATAAAAGGAATGCAGTTAATGTAAATCTATCGGATAATATCAAGATATTATATCATTGTTTCACTCCTTTAACTTAATTTTGCATTTATTGGGCTGGATATCATAGAAGCTGTTTAAAATGAATGGGCAGTGAGCAGTGCTTTGGTTTTCTCCTTATTTTTCATCTGTTTTTTGGTCTGTCCAGCAATTTAATACAACAGTCCCTCATAAAAATCTTTGAAAAAAATATAGGATCATGTTTGAACCCATTATTTATGTTTTCCTTGTTAAAGTAGAAACCAAACAAACATCCGTTCAGTAATGACCCCTTCTTGTTCAAGGTTTCCAGAGGTTGTATGAGAGTGGTAGCATTATAGTGAAAAGCTGAGGAGTTACTGCAAACTGAAAGAATAATTTATCCCACTGTCAAGTCGACCACTCATCCTCTTTAAGGTTAGGAGGTTAAAATGAAGTTTGCTATTGTTTTTTAAATAGACTAAGATATATCTATGACACTAAAGTGGTCCTGATCTGTTTTCTTAGAGGGATCTATGAATTAGAAAAAATTGCAGTTCTCAATTCTCCATGAATAAGCGCTTTGAAGTTTTTTTGCTTTCTCCTGTGAAGCGCTTTGAGACTTCTTGAAGATGTGATCAGGCACTATATCAAATCAAGGATCATTTTATAAACCTGTCGGCTGTCAGACATTGATCTTTGATTGATATGTATGCAGAGGAACAAAAGGTGGTGACTGTTATACGCCGGAATACAAGTTTTATATTTCTACGTTATTTGCATACTCTGAATAATAAATATCTGGTGGGACATTGTCACTGGGGAAATGCACGAATCCAAACTGTTCATTATCTTCTATTATTTTATACGCTATGAAAATGACAGGCATGCTTCAGCAAGCATCTCCCAATAAACTCTGAATCGCTAAGAGTCAGTTGATCTGATATGAGTTTCTTGCCCTTATCTAATTGAAGCACTTCAGAGTGACTTTAACATCACGTTTGTTTGTAATGTTAGCAGAGGTTTATTATTCTGTTATTCTGCACAAATATCCTATTTAAAAAAAATTCAACTTTTAAATAGAACGCAAACAGACCATGTTATCCAACACTTTAGTCGGTAAACACTCACCACTATAGGTATTATCTTACTAAGTACAGTAAAATACCAAATAGCACATAGGGGATTGGAACTAATAATAATAATCTTTGCATTTATTTCATGTCAGGAAGACAGTTCATGTCATTTCATGTCAGGAAGACAATTCAAAGCGCTTCACAAGATTTACTGTAATGGTGTAACGACTGTATTTTTGTGCGTGAACAAATGCTAGCTACTCTCTGGTCCTAACGCATTTTCAGTGATGGAGACATGATGGTAGATCATGTCACTTAGGTGTAATTTTTAGATTGGGTTAACAACATATAATGCAAATTTGTGGGTTGGGTTAACAACCTATAAAACAAAATTTGCCACAGGCAAACACATGTGTACAACTCGATACAAATTTACATTTATTTAGTGCCTTTCACATCAGGTGGACGTTCCCAAGGTGCAAGACAGTCCTAGCTTGGCGTGTTAGCTGGGGTGGGAGCAAGGGGTTGGAGAGGGGAAAGATAACGGAAGGCACGGTCAAGAGGAAGGTCTTGAGACGAGAAAGAACAATGAGGTGTAGAGGAGGAACAGCAGGTGTCCCAGATTTAGCAACCGATTTAAAAGATTATTGGGGGTTCTGCTTTCTGCGTAAATTGAAAGAATTGGTGGCCTGCCCCCTGCCCAAGTTTACTCTCAACCCAGCTGCTAAGAAGTGGGTGTAAATGAACTAGGCTGAATTCTCTTTAAAGTTTTGAAAAAAGGGGCACCACTCCTTCGTGGATGGGGGGTGAGATAAGAGAGTACCCACTTATGTTCAGTGGTGTCTGAAAGCACAGGAGAATTTCATGAACTAACTGCAATGAAAGTGCTCTCACGTAATCTAGTATTCCAGCACACAGTGTGTACCCTTACTTCTTAGTGTGCCGTACAACCTCATCACGGCTAATCACTCGTTTATTTCCTTCAGATTGTTTTCCTTCCCTCAAACCCCCAAACTGCAGTGTCGACATGCCAATAAAATGTGCCTATTGTTAGTTTAGTGCCTCTACAAATAGAAATCACACTGCAATACCTCAAAATAAAGCAAGGGTCCAGTTCACTTTGTCTTGATACACATGAGTAGTAGCATCATTAACATAGTGATTTGATTGACAGCTTTGGATACAGATTTCACTGACAATTATTTATACTGATCTATTGTAAGAAAACGAGCTCGTCGACATCTAAAATTCTCCAGGCTTGCAGTTAAAGCTAAAGATTCTACTCATCATATTTACCCAATAAAAAAATTCCAGTCTGCCTCGTTTTTAATTGCAAATCCTACTCCTGGGACTGGCTCACTTGCTTAAGAAGCACCCCTGTTCCATTCACCACTGAGCATACTGCAGTCAATTATGGTAATGAATTGTCAATAAATATAAAAATTTAATATAGTCGACTCTGAGTGAGTGGCAGATATGGACTTGCCTCACAGACAAATTTGCTGCTGCTGCAAATATTAAATGCACCTGAAAGAGTTGCAGGCACGGACAGAGAACCCAGAACACCACACAGGCAGACGAAGAGTCCTGCCAAAAGATCCCAAGTGATAATAACTCATTGTCTAGAAGACTGGCTTTGAGGTATCATGCACCTGAGCTGCACAAAGTGCTTCATGAGAAAGAAATATGAGCTTGAATAAATAAAAAAAGTAATTCTGGATCCTTCGGAAGCACTATTTCCTAATGAGGTACTTTGCTGACAAGTGCTGTATACTTGGTGTTTGATTGATAGGATTAAGTAAAGAAGGAAACCATTTTAGCATTGTGGGGTAGCTTTGGTTTCTATGCTTAAGTAATCGTTCACCATTTGTAAACCACAAAATTCACAGTTAAGCACTTACACTTACTGTGTGTCCCAGCATAGAATTTCGACCGCTGTTTATTCTCAATGCAATTGCTTTGAGAATGTAGCTGTCGTCGAAAAAAAAGGAATTTTGTGATCTTTAAAAAAAAATGCTGCATAACTTTTGGCCAATCTTAAATAACAATTTTTTGTGGCCTTTTTCAGGTGGATTACTCAGTAATAGCCTCCCAGGCTGGAGTCACTCTGAATAACCTCATGAATCATGCTCAGGAACTTGTAGTGAAACTGCACTCTCTACAGCTAGACCAGCGAGAGTTTGTATGCCTCAAGTTCCTTGTACTTTTCAGTCTAGGTAAGTGCCTTATGTTGTCTCATTCCTCACTTACCATAAAGACAATGCTTGGTTCTTCTGAATTCCCTGAACTAAAATAAGTAGTTGGATCATCTTTAAGGTTAAATCATTATGGGTATTTACAGAGGCAGTGATCATTGCACCCATTGTGTTGGTTTAGCTCTACACACAAAATGTGGGACAGTCAAACAAGGAATAAAGAAAGCTCATTTACAGATCTTCAGTGAAAACTGACACTGGTTCCTTCCGTCATCGAGTAATAATTGAATATGTTTGAGAAAATATAAACGTGTTGACCAATTTTTTTCATCACTTTATTACCTATTTAATATACGGAGAATCACAGGCATGTGATGACTAGTCAGTAAGCGTATCCAAAAGTTAAAATAACATTGTAACTCATGAGACTGAAACCAGGTGGTTTACAGCAATTCTCTGAATCCCGAGATGAATTGATTGCTAAGAAACTATTTCTGTACATCCGTGCCATGACCCGTTCTGCCTCCCCCCATCTCTGCAACATCGCCCGGCTCCACCACTGCCTCACACCGCAGGCCACCGAGACCCTCATACATGCATTCATAACATCTGGGCTTGACTACACACACTCCCTACTAGTTGGCCTTCCCAACTCTTCCCTCCATAGGCTGCAGATCATCCAGAATTCTGCAGCCCATGTCCTTTTCTGCACCAGGCTCCGTGGCCCAATCACCCCCATCCTCACCTGACTCCACTGGCTTCCCATCACACAGAGGATACAGTTCAAGATCCTGGACCTCACCTTCAAAGCCCTCCATGGCCTTGCTCCCCCCTATCTCTGCAACCTCCTAACCCCCTACCATCCTGCTCGCGCCCTTCACTCAGCGGGCACTGGCCTGCTTCACATGCCTGCCTCGCCCACCCCACCATTGGCAAATGGGCCTTCTGTCACTCTGCCCCCACCCTCTGGAATTCCATCCCGCAGTCCCTCTGCCTCGCCCTTCCCTTGCCTCTTTCAAGATCCATCTCAAGACCCTCCTTTCCTACCATGCCTTTGCCCACCCTCCTTCCCTGCCTGCCCTCCACCCTGCCCAATCCCGGCCCCCAGATCTGGTCCAAAACACTGACTGTCCAGCGCCTTGGGACGTCCTCCCGACATGAAAGGCGCTATACAAATGTAATTTTGTTGTTGTTGCTGTTTCATGGGTCTTCATTCCCAGCTAGTTAAATGATGTAGTTAAATTTCCGAACAGCCAAGCCTTGTTCCACTGAATAAGCTTGTCGGGAATTTCCATACCTTATCTTGTAATCTTTAGCATGGCTGTGTAAAAAAAAAGTTTTACTTCAATAGTCATTTTAAGAGGTATGAAAGAAAGAGCAAGGTTTTGTGAGATGTGTAGCAGGATTCCTAAGCACAGTATTTCATGATATTCAGGTGAAGTGAGTTTTTCATGGGCCGGTCAATGATTGGACACAGGCTAGTGAACACACCTGACAGATTCTGCATGTGCAGGATGAATGTCCTAAGTTTTAAAGGTCATTTGCTATAGCTCTGAATGATAAATATTTATGTCAGAAGCACAGTGTTCTGTGCTATATTATTGATGGTACAGATTTACTCCTTAACAAGACTACTTACAGTAAAGCCATTGGCTTTAGTTTATCATCTGCATTGTAAATGTGAACTAAAATGTCAAAGCTTACACCGCCGATTTTTCATTGGTTGGTCTGCTTTCAGTTCAAAGCTTTTTTTTATATCTGCTTGTATTTAAACACAGCATTATAATGAAGGTTGTTCCATTGTTAATTTACTTAAATAAATATTACCGTAAAAGTCAGGCAGAAAAAAAACTGTGTCAGTAACCATGGTCCAAAGTGACAACTAAAGCAGTTGTGAAGTTTCTGTAGGTTGCTTTGAAAGCTGCCGTAGGGATTATTGGCACATTTTCAGCAGGCAGTACTTGTAAATCAATCACATATTTTTGCAAAGAGTTTATTCTGCATCTTAAAAAAAATACAGATAAAGGCAAGAAATCACAGAGTTGATTACAACCATGGCCGAAATAAGGATTTGAAACTTTCCATTCACTTGTAATCCTTTGTCAGAATATCTATCTATGTGATAATATGCCCATATCGCTGTGTGCAATTGGCTACCGCGTTTCACCTACAAAATACAGTCAATCCACTTTACAATATATTCTGTGAAGTGCTTTGAGAAACCTCAATAACGTGATAGGGCGCTGTATCAAATGCAAGGATTATTATTATCTGCTACATTTTATTATTGTCTTCTGTACCTTTCCTGAACTAATTCAGATCTTCCAAACAGAAGGTACTAACAGTCTTGTTTCAAACAGATCTGTGAATTGCATCAGGATTTTAACATAGTGCATGACACCCTTGGTATTTTCCAAAGAACGTCCTATTCTATATGTACTCCATGAAATTCTTCTTGTCTCGAAAATGCATTGCATTATGTCCCTTAAATGCCATCGTTCTGCTTTTCCTCTCTTCAAACCATTGCCTGCTGACTGTCCTTAGTGTGCCCTTACTGCAGTTTGGGGATCACTCTAGCTGTCTGTGTAGTATAAATAATTTAGGTACAGCTTGTGCTATTTACAGCTGTGAATCACGCAGAAAGTATTTGCATAAGTTTAACACAGAAGGTGGGTAGAATCTCATTTCTCCAATGTTTTGAGCTTCTGTGATTATATGAATGAACCACAAGTATACTAATCTCCGCTATATTGAATTACTCAATACCAGGGTAGTCTGTGAATATTGAGGACATGTTAATGACAGTTAGTACCTTGAGCAAGAGTGAGGTAACATTTTTTAATTACAGACCAGTCTTTTTCACATAATATGCTCTCTTAGGAAAATGGAAGAATTTCAAAGGAGATCTGCTCATCAGAAGGTTAGTTTAGCATTTGTCAGCTAATTCAGCAGTCTGTGCTGTTGCTGCATAAGCATTCAGAAACATGGTGCAGTTTGTCCGATATATCACTTGATACCAGGTATCTCTGCTTATGTTGTGAATAAAAATTGTGGCCCTTCAGAAGGCGAGCTTCGGTGGAAGAGGGGAAACCTTTTTATTAAAAATCCAGAATAATCCTGCTGCGTAGTTCCTAATTCAAACGATCATACTCTTTCACTGGTTCTGTTAGTAATGTAACCATGAGGAATACGAACTGGACTCTCTTTTCTTATGCACCATACGCCATCTCTCTCCCATAGTGTGCAGGAGCTAAGCGACCATGAAAGGGGTTAATTGATCCAGCCTTTTGTATATGCACACATTGAGATCACGTTTCCACTTATTTCATAATGTGATAATCAAAAACATTCTGAAAGGCCACATATTTTGCCCCATTGTTATTCATCTGAATATATTAGTTTATATCTGAAAAATGTAATTGAACACTCAAGGTGCTGATAGAACTTTTGTGTTTGTTACTTGTTGGTTTGAGAAGGGGTGAGGAGGAGTCCAAGTTATTTTGACCTCTGCCATCCAGTGAGTTGTTTCTTAGAACTTACAGCACAGTACAAGTTACATTTGTGTAGCACCTTTCACATCGGGAGGATGTCTCAAAGGCCTTGACAACTAACAAGCACACAGAAGAGGTAACATGGTCACAGCTAATGACTTTAGAATATATTTCATAATATAAAATATAAAGTAGGGATATATGGAGGAATATAAATAAACTCTGACAAACATTAAAACACTTTAGAAACTAACATTGCATCTTGCCCATGTTTAATTTGATTCTGCTCTATCGTAACTGGAATAAATCTGTGTGAAAGAGAATGGGATAGTTTTGGTCCAGTAAAAATGTAGCTTTAATGGTTAACACTGTTAGGTCTTATGTTAAGGGAAACTGGCAGAGGAGATAAGCAGTGATTTGTCACTGACTGCATTTGACCGGGTGCCTGTAAAATGAAGTGCCAATAAAGAGGAGGTTAGACATTACTTGACCCATGTTCTCTTCATTCAGCAGCTTGTCTTTACACTGAACACAATCCTGAAACAAGCGCCAAGTGACTGGCACCACATTACAATCACTGTCAAGCCTTAGACAAATGTAGTTCATTTAAAAATGAAGGGTTTATCAATGGGCAAATAATTGCTGAGCACTATTGATTCCTTGCATCTCACTCAACCTGGGACATCCCGGTTTGCTGAAATGGTAAACATTAATCAGCATGTATGTCAAACAATAGACTCCATTCAACTGCTAAAAAACAGTGCAAAGAAAGACTAAGAGTTTAAACACAACCACGACCTGACCTTCCAATACATATTTAATCTGCTCTGTCTACATCTTGTATGGTGCAGGAGAGGATATATTTTTTGCCTTTCCTGTCTGATAACAGAAACATTAGCAAATTGACACTTCAATCTGTGGATTGTCTTGAAGACAAGATGCACAAGGGTTGATAATATTTACAGAGCCTGACACAGCTTGATGTACCCTACCAACCGAGAGGTCAGGCCATTGTAATTGTAAATTCTAACCCTGAGACCTGCATCGTATTACCGCATAGTCTGATCCTTGCTTCACAGCATATACACAAGGACCACTTCGCTACTCATGTACATGTTACAATGGGACTGCAAAATTCTGTTTTCTAAAGCTGTATAAAATACAATTGGAAAACTGTCCCCCATGTAAATTAAAATGTAATTAAATTAATTGAAGCACTAATTGAAATCTGCACATGTATCTCTTCAAATTGGCTGGTGCATTGTTATAAGGAGTGAGTAGAGAGTTAGCTTCCTACATTATATAGTATTAAAACAATTCTAACAATTATTGTTCTTGAGAATTTACAGTCACAGTCATACAGTCCCACTTCTTTCATTTTTAAAACAAAATAACTACAGTAGAAAATTCTGTTATTAAATGTTTGTATGGGGACCAACGCAAAACTATTTTCACATTTGCAAGATCAATTTTTGTTGAATGAGTGAGTGCGAAACCTAACCAGTGCCATTCAGAATCTTTCTACCAAAA